TGCCGAAGTCTCCCCCCAACCCGTATGATTCCCTCGCCGGGGTCCAGTTCAGGGGACAGGGTAAGGAGACGACTACTTCGGAGTACTGCTTTCCCTGCCTTAAGGTGGCATAACTCCTCTGGGAAGCATTCAGCCTGGACTCTCTGGAAGATCGTCATCTCTGCCTGCCGATAGTCTGCTGCTGTCAGGGCCTTATCTCGATCTGCCGCCCCATGCCCCTCCTGCGCTACGGCCTCGACCATGGCCCTCCAACAAAGGTATGACTTGCTCAAATGTGTCTCTGGTAGGTCTGCTCTCGATACCACTCCGCATGAAACCTACTTCTTGTACTCTGTGACATCCTGTTCTGTTACCTCTCCAGGTAAGGATGGCCATTCAGCAGGTCCCTTGAGGAGGAAGGAAGGCCCTTGGCTCCAACGGTTCGGCTCGGCCAACTCTGCCAAGGTCTTCCCTCTCGTCAAATCATCTGCCGGGTTCTGTGTGGAGTCAACGTAGCGCCAGGTACATCATCCTGTAAGCTCTTGGATCTCGGCTACACGAGTACCCACAAAGACTTTAAAGCGGCATGATTCTGACTGCAACCAGGTCAACACTGTTGTAGAGTCACTCCAAAGGATTGTCTGATCTGTCTCTTATATCTGAGGATGCCTGCAACCTGTACACGCCTCGCCTTGGCCTCCAGAAGCTCCAGCGCTTCCTTATCCTGCTTCGATCTCATAACCGACTTGTCGGTCTGGTATGGCAGTATGTCCATCTTCCAGAGCTTCTCGACATTCTGCATCAGCTCCGTCATCTGGGGTGAGATACTAGTGAAGAGACACTGCTGGGCACTCGGAGCCCACTGGGTAAGGTGTGCAGGTCCTTGAAGTGTCCATCCCAGACTTGTGTGGATGGCTGCCGGTCCTCCAGGAGGGACCAGTCTCACCGGTTCGATCGGAGTAAGTAGATGAGGGTAGTCCACTCCAATCAGCACAAGCGGTTTGACATGTTCAAATGTCTCAAGAGGAAGATCTGCCAGGTGTTTGTACTTCCTCTTCAAACTGGCGATTGGGTAAATGTGGTCTGCCAAGCCCAAGAGTTGTGAGGTGAAAGCCTCCACTACCCAAAAGGTTTTCTTGGGATTCATAGGGGAGGAGATGTTGAATGAGACTACTGATCCCTTCAGGATTTGGACTTCCTGTCGAATGGTCCGCAGAGCAAGGTCCTCTGGCTTCTTATGCAGGCCCAGTTTGTCAACAGCTTCAGGGACGAGCATTGTGCGCTCTGAACCATCATCCAGTATTGCATAAGTGTCTAGTGTCCGGTCTCTGTTACGCAGTAGAACTCTGACGACTTTCAGCAGAACACGAGTGTGGTCCGATGGTCTGTCAAGATAGAGGACTTCTGTACTGGTGCTCACCAGGCAACTTTCAGACTTCGGCTGCTCAGCCGGGGGGCGGGAGTTGGCATCGTGAAGAACTCTCAAATGCTTCCCCTGACACACATCGCAGAGCTTCTTAAGGTCACATTGTGCCACCTGATATGCTCTCCCGCATCTCCTATTAACCCTGATCCACTCTATGATCTCCTCTTTATTGAGTTTCTGGAAATTTGGACACTTATTTAGGAAGTGCTGTGTGCCCTCACAATATGGACAGTAGGGTTTTGCTTTGCCTTTCCACCTCTGCACAGACGAGCTTTGACCCTCTTGCCGGGATACTGGGTTCAGCGTATGGATCTCTGCTCCATGGAGTACCGTAGCTGGTGGTCTGCTGCGACGTTTCTCAGCTCGGTAGCCTGGTAACCCTTGGGCACGAGTGTCCGTAGGGTTGTCATAACCTTGGCACCATGACTCATATCGAAGCCATTCTGCCAGGTCAAGCAGTGTATGAGTATGTCCAGGACGATGGAACATCTGACGTCGGAAGTTAGCTCTCATCTCCATCGGAAGCTTGGTAAGGAGTCGGGCCACATGTGAGCCGCATCTCAGCTCGACTTCTCCGTCTGGCCCCAGTGTCTGTAGCATGCCCACAAGTGACTGTATGTGCAGGGAGAATCTCTCAAAGGCAGCTATGTCCCCTCTTCTAATCTCAGGGGAATCAATCACCGCAGCGATCCTCTTCAAGGCGACATGATGCGACTGGCCAAACTTTTCAGTCAAGGCTGCCATAGTGTCAGTGTACGGCTGGGGTGAGTTGATAAAGGAGTCAGCGATAAGACAGGCTTCTTCAAGTTTCACATGATCTACAAGTATCTGATACTTGAAAAGCTCCGAAGCATCAGTGGGTAGCAGGTTTGCTAAAGCCAATTTCAGCCGAGAGAACTCCATCGGGTCATTATGGACAAAAAACGGAATTTTCGGCACAGGCCCCTTGTACTCTCCTACCCTTGGAGTTGCCGACATTGGTGAGAACTGTCTGCCTGAGGCGGGGTGTGGCAGGCGGATATCAGGCCTAGCTGGATACTGAGTTGGGGATGCCTCATCTGTGCGATATATACTGGGCTGCGGCCGTGAAATAGGTGAGTAAAGTTTTGGCCTCTGGGTGCTGGACCGGATGTCATACTCTTCAGGACCTCGTCTCGGCTGAGGGGGGTTCAAGCTCTGAGGGGTAGAATGTGGACGAGTGTGAGCTGTAATGCTGGATGATACACTGTCCCTCATGAGCTGTAGCTCGCTCATCATTCGGTCTATGAAAATGACCACTCGCTGCTCCTCACCAACTGCGGACTTTGGGGGGTTGTCAGATGAAGGCCACGGCGGAGGAGGCAGTTCCTCATCATAATCCTCTTCCTCTAGGGCTAACGAGTCATCTGGTAATGGAAGGGGTGGCATTGGCCATTGCTCTGAGGTCTGATCCCTCTGCACTGTTCCTCTCATTCTGACTGAGGCTGTTGACTCACGCGATTCCTTCCTATTATCATAAGGTGAGGTGAAACTATGCTGCACATTCTCTCTGGTCCCACTTAACTCAGCTCCCTCTTCTATGTGGGGTGTATAGATAGGTAGCCATCCTAACCTTGTATCAATGAAGCTCTCCTCTAAGCTTGGGAAATAATCGTCCTGTGCCCGAGCAGTCCTACCCCATGTCACGTGAGGCTGCGAGCTCCATTCTTACCCTCTAGGCATGGGTTGTTCAGGACTATCAGGTGCTGGGCCATATCTCTTGGGTCACACTACATTGACCTCGTAATCTGTCAGATAGGATGGCGGCCTCACCTGACGTTTGGGCTGAGTGGATGGGCCCCATGATGCTTCGCCGCTCTGCTGCATGCTCCCAGCACCGTTGCTATCTGGCTCGAAGGACTACAAATGTAGCGAAGGCTACCTTGAAAGATAATAAGGGCTTGGTTTTGAAGGGAATAGCAGTGTACCAGGTGTGTCGGTCAGAACACGACAGAGAGGGAAGTGATTAACTTGAACTGGTTTAATTTGACCAGTAGGTAAATATACATCAGAGGGGGGAGCCAACCATAAACTTGCACCTTAAATGCAAGTTTATTCAATGCCCACTTGAATGCGGAACAGCTTCCAGCTACGGTGGAAGAAGCAACAGTGAGTCCATCGGACCTCCAGAGGTTGAATCCAAAGGGATTAAATGAGTCCAAGAAAGGAACAGTCAGTTTGAAGCCCTTAGGAGTGGTGGCGAGCGATTAAACAGTGACTGATAGAGATGCGGGTCATGAGAGGCACATGTACATCGCAGATACTGAGTAATGTCCTGACTTTAGATGAGTTTGTGCTGTGTCTTCAGATGGGAGTGTAACACATGAATTGTGCTGGTATTTGGTGTGGTTTGATCTGTAACAGACAAGAAGCAGCACTCTAATATAAGTAAGCACATCATCACAGCCTTAATACACAAACTATTGACTCCTCCCCTCACATGGACATAATAATATGTAAACACATAATACAATCACAAGCTGACAAGCATTGTCACTCACAATAACATCTTTTAACATTTTACTGGCATTATTTATCAACATGAGATATTATAACATCCTAAACATGTCTATAAAGACTGTAGAGCGACATAAGCTTGAGCACAGATGAATAAGTACCGTCACGTAACATTATGCAGTCAATAACTGCGTCATACTATATAACAATGAGCATAAATCAGTAAACGTGATAGTATAAACCTTACTCACTCTTATAAGACGCACAAAGCACAATATACACTCGATCTGTGGCTGTAATCAATGCTATTTCTCTTCCCCAGTACCCGTGCCACTGACGAACTGATATCTGCTGCAGCTGATGCAATATGCGATCGCTCCGTGCCAAGTTGCTTCACTTCTGATCTCCCATATGCGTCGTACTTTCATAATAAAAGTCCCTGTTCTAGTCATTGCTACAGTGCTCCTAATTCTCTCAATCGCCTTTTGCACACATGGTTTATGTTAGACGAGTGTTGCTTTTACAAAACCACATTATAATCCACTCAAACTCATAGTGAACTCACAGTCCACCGTTGGAAGGCAAAAGAGCATTCCTTGACCGGGAATAGAATCCAGGTCACGGAGGTGAGAGCACTGAATCCTAATCACTAGACCACCAGGTAAGGGCTGGTTGGCTACACTCCTGATAACAGCATGAGAATAAGCAGACAGCAATTCTAGCCTCTTTCTCGTCGAAAACCAACAAGTCTGGTGCAATCGCGAGGCATTTCTGTCGGTGGGCCAGCGGTGCAATGGGTAACCTGTCTGACTACGAATCAGAAGATTCTAGTTTTTACCCCTGGCTGGCTTGCTCTTTGAGTAAAACAACAGATCCCTTGAATGCATGCAACACGATTTAATTCAGTAAACGATCCCTTCAGATAATTCTTGTTTTGTTAAATTAATCTCACACTGATAAAGTCACACACCAAAAGCCATAGGCCACTACAAAACCCTGCCCCCACACTGGCCACACGTATGGAAAGTGGCCCAGAAGTCTGTAACCAGTTCAAGGCAGTTCCCATATGGTCTAGCGGTTAGGTTTCCTGGTTTTCTCCCAGGTGGCTCGGGTTCGACTAGACGACCAGGCAAATTTCCAAGCACGCATATTTTATTCCACAAAAACCGTATGTTGCACACCCATTCCAATGTCTATGGGAGATGCGCACATGCTTCGTGATTGCCATTCATCTGTTTGTAAGATATATCCGGAATGCCATATTTAACCTGTGACCTCCATCATGAAGTAGGATATTGTCCTTTATTGATCAGTGGATGTGTTATGCCATCTGTTTTGTAATATATCATGTCACACCACAATTAACCCACGATCTCCATTGTTGAAACATTAGTCATGTTTGAACTCGATCACCCGGGCAGCTGTGGACCACATGTGCTCGTATTGGGTGGAGCTCCCTAGCGTACTTGTTTAAATAGAGCAGGCCATTTCTGTGGAAAATCAGAAAAGAGCGGATAAATGAGAAAATAATACAATAAAAAAACTCAGATTATAATAATCTCTCTCTCTCTCACACACACACACACACACACACACACGCCTTGGCTTTTGTTTTCTGGGGACACTCCATAGGCGTAATGATTTTGTACTGTACAAACACCTACCCATCAGACAAACATGTCTGCACATACTTACATTCTTAATTTAATATTGTTTGTAAGCAATCTTAATTATGAGGACTCACCATAGACTTTCACCATAAACCAAATTTACGTTGTTATATCAGAGTAATACCCATGTCTTTATACAAATTTGTGCTCTGATAAATCATATAAACAAGCACACACACACACATTCATAAACATTACAGGCTAAAAGAGACTTATCCCCATTTTAAAGAATATGACAGCATGTTACTAAAGCAAATCATTCATTTTAAACAACTATTCAACATTTATTTAAGCTTATTGAACTTATAAAACACATCGTAGTAACAAACATTTTATTAAAGCAAAGCAAATCATTTTATCATACATTTTAATAATGTATTCAACATTTTATTTATGTTTATTGAACTTATAAAACACATTTTAAACAAGCATTTTAAACGAAAATTTTAGTTTTTCACTAACTACGCATAAACGTTGTTTTCGCAAAAACACAAACATGTACATTCATGCTGCTCACATATTGTTGTATCCCAGCTTGTATTGAATACAGTATAATCAGACTTTAGCCATTAATATATTTTTAAGACACTGAAAAACACAAATGTCAGGGCATGTCAAAACATCTCCAGTGCCACACACACACACACACACACATACATATACATAAACATTACAGGCTAAAAGAGACTTATACCCATTTTAAAGAATATGACAGCATGTTACTAAAGCAAATCATACATTTTAAACAACTATTCTACATTTATTTAAGCTTATTGAACTTATAAAACACATCGTAGTAACAAACATTTTATTAAAGCAAAGCAAATGATTTATCATACATTTTAATTATGTATTCAACATTTATTTATGTTTATTGAACTTATAAAACTCATTTTAAACAAGCATTTTAAATGAAAATTTTAGTTTTTCATTAACTACGCATAAACGTTGTTTTTGCAAAAATACAAACATGTACAATCATGTAAAAACATCTCCAGTGCACCAGTGATTATACATAACATACTTTATAAAAAATAAACATTTACTATAGTTTAATTTGACAATAAAAACGTTTTACATTATTCTGGGGCCAATGACGTTCATACCCTCAAGTAAAATGTAGGGATGCACCGATACCGGTATCGGTATCGGGCCCGATACTGGTCTCCTATACTCGCACTCGTACTCGTTAAAATGCCCCGATACCAAACGCCGATACCACACAGCATGTGATCAGCACCATATTCAAACAAAGGAACACAGACAACAGAACAGCAGACAGCAGAAAGGAATTAAGGATGTCTACTACGAAGTATATGTATGCAATGAATATAATGTTAAACATTCAGTATTAACGCCTGTATAGCTGATGTGCGCGAGCTGATAAACAAAGCACGCTGAGTGGATTGAGCGCGCGGCGGCGCAGATGCGCGAGCTTGTCGAGTGAATATATCTTTCTCACAGACATCACTGGAAAGTTTGTAGTTCGGTCGGATACGTCAAAAACAAGTAAAACAACGCACAGACAGAGAGAGAGAGAGCGAGAGAGAGAGCGCGCTCAATTCTTTTGTGTGATCTTTGATGTTCACTCACTTAACACACGCATCATTTGGATTAAAACGAAATTGTAAAAATAAAACCATTCATAGGGGCATTCACTATAAACATCATTTATTTTCAACCGTAGGCATACACGACTTTCTGGCAAAAGTGAATCTAGCAGC